CTCTCTCTCTCTCTCTCTCTCTCTCTCACACACACACACACACACACACACACACTCAGCAACAGGCGGCCGAAGGCCGAATAACACATTTGGGTAATTAGCTCAGTTGGTAGAGTGCAAGACGACTATCGATTCTTAAACAACCTATATTTTCACATATTCTTCCCTATCCGCTCGAATTTTGTCTTTTTCTTCCTTCTCCGATGCCTCCCTTCCGCCTGTTCGATTCCATCTGTCAACTTGTGCCCTCCATCCCGCTCCCGACTTTCCCCCCAGCAATTTGCTTTTCCCCATCCTCTTCTCTCCTTGTTCTGTGTCTGTAGCCTCTTTATTCCCATCTCTCTACACTCCTTTCTCTCCTCCGTTGGGATCCTCTTCAAGCTCCTGCTCCTCCAATACTCGATGTGGCCCCTGCGGATATGGTATGTCCATTCCACTCTTCCACTCGTCCGTCGCTCTTTCTCTCTTCATTGCTCTCCTCCTGCATCTCCTGCATATCCGCATTTACCCTATCCCGCTACTGATTCAGCCCCTTCGTCACTATCCTGCTCTCTCAATTGCTTACAACCTATTCTCCCTCCCTCCGCGCTGAACCCCTCTTCCTGCCTTGCAATCCCGACTTCCCCACCTTGTCTGGATTTCTCCCCCCCCCCTCCTCCCTCTACACGACTTGCATTCCTCACACTGTTGCCTTGGCGTTCTTTCTCCCACACCCACATTTCATTGGTCCCTACATCCTCACTGGGAACTGGGAGTGGATGATTTATTTCGACCTTCTCCTCCTCTCGATCCCACATCCTGATCAACCCCTTCCCAGTCCGCGCTGCCCATCCCCTTCTTCGCAAATTGAGCCCCTTACGTACATACCCCTCTCATTTACGTTGGGAGCCTCCTCGACGTCTTCCACCTACACAACCTCCTTCACGTCGGCAAACTTCCCTTGCATGCTCACCCCATCCCAGTGACTCTCCTTCTGCTGCCTTCTTTGACGTGACCGACGAAATCCTGACCTTCTCCTCCTCCTCATCCCGCATCCTCCCCCTCCCCCTTCCTCCTTCTCCTGCTACTCCAGCCTCTCAAGATTTCGATGGCGACGTTCTCCTGCCTGCATGACCAGGCGCTTGACCTCCCCCTAGCGTTCCTTCTCGCCCTGCCTCTCCGCATTCACGGCATGATCCCCGCATACTCCTTCCGATAGCGGCCGTGCACAAATCCTGTCCCACTTGCAAAATAGCACCCCCGCAAAAATGAATGGAGTTTCCCTAAGCGAATGGCCTGATGGATAGCGGGAGGAGGGAAGGAGGGATGTAGAGAGGAGAGGAGTGGGGGGGAGGCACAGAGAGAGAGAGAGAGAGAGAGAGAGAGAGAGAGAGAGAGAGAGAGAGAGAGAGAGAGAGAGAGAGAGAGAGAGAGAGTGCACGTCGCCACGCCAGGCAAACCCACCGTTTCAGTTGTGGGCCGACTGTGAACGGAACTCTCCACCTCTTCAGACACACAACACCTCTGATAGAGGGAGGGAGGGAGGGAGGGAGGGCGCACTTCGCCACGCCGCGCGAACTCACCTATTTCCGTTTGCGCCGAGGGTGAATACGCAAATACAACTGTCCGGATCTCGCGCCACAACAGAGCGGTCACACACAGAGAGAGAGAGAGAGAGAGAGAGGAGAAAACCCGCCACGGCGACGGCTGTTAGGTGCGTTCAAACAGCCGTCGCCATATGCCATCAGAGGAGCCGCAGCCGTGCCCTAATTGGGAGGGTGGGTTCGAGTATGGATGGGTCCCCTCCGTCGGAGCTGAAAATCTCACGGCCACAACGTGACCACATCGAAAAGCTTTTATTTTCCTTTACAAGGACAGGGCCCGGAGGGCGTCATCATTAAGCAAAGTTCAAACACAAGTTCAGGCCGGGAATCCCTCGAACAAAACTGAACCGTGCGGGGCGCGGGGGCGCAGCCAGAGCTTATGAAACTGCAGTTTAGAGTGTTGGTGTTTTGCACGAGTCTTATTGTAGAAGCCTAGATCCCCTAGGACCTAAAACGGCAGAAGGATTATCACCCTTCTCTATAAGAAGGGAGACAAAACAGACATTCAAAACTATCGCCCCATATCTCTCTTGAATGTTCACGGTAAAATCCTAGCCAAGACACTAGCTCGGAGAATAAACCCACTACTCAACAAACTCGTACACCCGGATCAATCCGGTTTTATCCCAGGCAGACAGGTGCTCGACAATGTAATGATTATATCCCAATCAATTGACTCTTCGAACACCCAGCAATCAGGAACAAAGTCGGCCGCCCCTTCTCAGTGGCCAAGGCACAAGGGAACTTCAGGCTTACTTGGATGCAGAGAGGGGTCTGCCTGGTTCGCCACATTTGGAATCAAGAAAGCAGAACCTGGAGATCACACGCTGAACTGAAGACTTCCCTCAAAGCACTTCACAACATGCAAGATCACCTTACAATAGTTATACAAGCGATCCCTGCAGAGTGGATTCATATTTTCTCTCAACCGGAGGCATCATACAGAGAGCTCCAGTGGTTCAAATCTTCAGGACAACAAGACCTCTTCTACAGAGTAGACAAAGTTCATGATGACGGCTCTGTTGAAGCCTCTGAATGGCTGCTGAAAGACTCCAGATTGGTTCAAACCAGAGAGTCACGGAAGATATCCCTACTCAGCATGGAGGACGTCAGAATCTGACAAAACCAAACTGCAGGAGAGTCACCGACATTCCAGATCTACATGAATGCGGTTCCTTATAAAGACTGGAAAATTGATGTCTGCAAATATGGTTGGGTCGTCCACAACCACTCAGGCTCCCCTACCAGAGTCCTTATTGCTGATTATACTGCCAAGATTGGTTATAAACTCTTCTCTAACTCTCAGTCATTACATGCTGGCCTATCTCTCAGATGGCAACAGAAAGTCGCCTCCTTCAACCTCCCCTCCATCTCTGTAAAGTGGCTCCTTTTCTTTATCCACAGTCTGCTTTCCACCATAGAGACCAAAGTCGGAGGTCTGCAATGGTTGCACCTTCACGCCTGCGTCCCCACATCGCTATGGTGCACAGAGAAGGGAATGGAAGTCTCAAGTACGTGTGACATTTGTCCCGACCCAAACTTAGAAGATTGGTCTCACATGTGGTGGGAATGTGTGATCGCCAGGGGATTCTGGGATTTCCTAAATAAAATATGGCTACACGCATATGGCACATCGGACTTCTGGGACAAAAATATGGTTTTCACAAGGAGAGTGCAGGCAAATTTTCATAATCAACAGGCTGAAACAATATCTACGATCTTCAGAATGAGGGTTTTCTGGCAGCTATGGCTAGCCAGAAGAGACAGAAGGTTTTTATCAATTAATAACCTCACTCCCTCACTAATTGCACGGTTTAAACACGCCCTCCGCTCGAACATAACTGCGGATTGGTTCAGATTCAAGAACAAGTCGTCTTCCAAGGAGGTGGCCATTTCTGCCTTTCGCAAGAAATGAGCGAGGTGACCATTTCTGCCTTTCGCAAGAAATGAGCCTCTCCCTTTTAATGGGCAGATTTTTCAGAAGACCACAGACTCTTCTATTCGGACCTTCTTTGGGACCACCACGCTACTAGACCTTGAGCATATAGACATATTAGACAGCCTACTCATGGAGTAGCTGAGAGGGTCTGAGCCTTGAGCCCCTAGATAGGTACTTCAGCAATTATTGACAACTTTCTTCTTGGCCCTCTTATCTATTGTCTCTCTCCAAGGTTTTCCTTCCTGTCCAAGTTGTCCATCCTTTGGGGGGGTTTGCAGTTTTTCATGGGACGCTGGACCCGGTTTCCAGCACTGGTTTTTATTCCGGATTGTGATGTTGAGGGATTCCCGGCCTCATTCGATCATTTTAAAATTTCAGCAGTGACTCTTTAAAAAAAAAAAAAAAAAAAAAAA